GGCGGCGTCAGGCTGCCCCCGAGGCCGAGCCCCCCCGCCGCTCTGCCCGCAATATCCGGCTCTTCCTGCGCCACTTCTGCCAGGACTTCCTGGAGGGCTGCTACAACCGCCTGATGCTGCTGGTCAAGGTGAAGGGCTGGGAGGGCTGTGACCCCGTCCCCGGGCTGCGGGAACCTGACTGAGCCCCCCTCCCACCGCCCCCAGGACCAGCTGGTGCGGGAGAAGGCTCAGCAGCACGACGAGACCTACTACCTGTGGGCCACCGCCTTCTTCATGGCCTTCAACCGCCACCGGGGCTTCCGCCCTGAGCTGGTGTCGGAGACGGTGGGCGTCCGCGCCTTCCACTTCATCGAGCAGAACCTCACCACCTATTACGAGATGGCATTGATGGACAAGAAGGAGGCGGTGACCTGGGCCCACAGGTGGGTGCTTGGGACCCCCACTGGGTTCCTGGGACCCCCCCCGGGTGCAGGACCCTGCCTTGACGCTGCCCGTCCCCAGGATGCACCTGGCCCTGAAGGCATATCAGGAGCTGCTGCGGACGGTGCAGGAGATGGACCGGTCCCCTGAGCAGGCTGTGCGGGACAGCAGCCAGGTCATCAAGAGTGAGTCCGTCTGTCCCTCCACCCGTCCCTGGAAGGGGTCCAACCCCAGCCCCTCCCCGGCTGACCCTTTCCTCCCCAGGCAACATTTTTTACCTGATGGAGTACCGGGAGCTCTTCCTCGCCCTCTTCCGCAAGTTCGACGAGACCAAGCAGCCACGCAGCTTCTTGCGGGATCTGGTGGAGACGGCCCATCTCTTCCTTCGCATGCTGGAGCATTTCTGCCGGGGCCGTGCCAGCCTGGTGGTGCAGGTAGGATGTGGCTGCCCTGCCAGCAGGGTCCGCTGGGGGGGGTCAGTCAGCCCCTCCTGACCCAGTCCTTGCCCCCCAGAGCAAACGTGTGCGGAGAAGGAAAAAGCCGCGGACGCCTGCAGCCATTGCCCCGCAGCCGCCCAGCACCGAGGAGCTGGAGGAGCTGTGGGCAGGATTGGACCCGCAGATCCAGGCCTGCCTGCAGGTAGGGGGAAGGATCCGGCCCCGCGGGGAGCGCTGGGTGTCTTGGCAGGGCGTAGGGTCACAGTGTCCTGCCCCAGGGCGAGGTGCCCCTCCCCGAGGACGTGGTGCCCTTCGACGCTGCCTCGGAGATGCTGGTGGAGGAGCAGCGCACAGAGGCTCTGCTGCGGATCCAGGGGTGCCTGCGGGATGCCCAAGTCCCCCAGGCCCTGCGGCTGCTCCGCTCTGCCAGGTACCGGCGCTGCAATTCCCATCCTGCACCCTGGCAGGGGTGCGGGGACACGGTGCCAGCCTGTCCCCCTCTCCCCAGGGATGTCTGGCCCGAAGGGGATGTGTTCGGACCCCCTGATGCAGGACCACCCGAGGAGACCCGGCTGCTGCAGGAGATCCTCTTCGCTCCCCTGCCCTGTGAGACTCTAGCTGGTGGCACCGGGAATGTCGGGCACTGGGCTGGAGTGCTCGGGCCCTCAGCACTGTCCCACCACAGGGCATGCACCTCCCGAGGCCGAGGAGCTGGAGGAAGAGGAGGATGAGGAAGAGGACGAAGAGACCATGCAGGTGTCAGAGAAGGAGTTCAACTTCCTCGACTACCTGAAACGGTGAGAGGGAACGGAGGGGAAGGGGCGGTCCTGCTCACTGGGGCGGCCCTGCTCACCGGAGCTGCTGGGGCAGGTTCGCCTGTCCCCCTGTGGTCCGGGCACTCGTGCTGCTGCTGCGGGGGTATGCCCGCAACAGCCCCCGCACCAACCACTGCGCTGCTCGTCTGCTGCACCGCCTGGCCCGCGACCTGCACATGGAGGCCCTGCTCTTCCAGCTCTCTCTCTTCGCCCTCTTCCACCGCCTCCTCAATGACCCCGCTGCCAGCGCACATCAGGTCAGCTGGGGACTGGCTCCCCCCGAGCCCCCTGGGGAGGAGTCTGTCCCCGGTGTCCCCCAGCCCCGCTCTCCCTCACTCCGCCTGCAGGAGCTGGTGGCATTGGCCAAGTTCGTCCTGGGCAAGTTCTTTGCGCTGGCAGCCACCAACAAGAAAGCCTTTGTGGAGCTGCTCTTCTGGAAGAGCCCGGCGGCTGTCCGCGAGATGACCGAGGGCTACAGCTCCCTGCGGGAGGGAGAGGGGTGAGTGGGGACAGGGAGGGGGCTGCTGCCCTCTCCTCACCTCCCCTCACCTCCTCTCTGCCTCTGTCCAGGGCTGGCAGGAGCCGGGTCCCCCCGTGGACCCCCCAAGAGGAGCAGGAGCTGCGGGAGCTGTACTGGAAGTACAAGGAGGTGGAAGGTACCAGGGCTCCCTGGGGTGGGGGGGCAACGGGACCCCCATGGGGGGCAGCAGGGGCGCTCCGTCTCTGCAGCCTCCCACTCTCGCAGGTGAGGACATCATCGCCGCCATCCTGGCCCATCTCCCAGCACCCGGCCGGACACGGAGGCAGGTGGTGAAGCAGCTGGTGCGGCTGGGGCTAGCCAGCAGTGTCAAGGACTTCCCGCGGGAGAGGTGGGTCGGGGACCCCTGCGGGGGACCCCTGGGCTGGGGGGGCTGCCTCACCCTGGGGCAGGGACTGACAGCCGTGCCCCCCTCCAGGAAGGGCACCCACCTCGTGTTATGGACACAGGAGCAGGAGGAGGAGCTGACGCGGCTCTTCGAGGAGTTCCAGGGCTCAGAGGGTGAGCAGGGCTGGGGCAGGCACCCCCACTCTAGCCCCCTGCAGCCCCCCGGAGCCCCCTGCCCTGATCCCCCCTTCCCTGCAGATGTCCTGGGGAACATCATGAAGCACCTAACAGCACGACGGTCACGGGCTCGCGTGGTGGAGAAGCTGCTGGGGCTGGGGCTGGTGTCGGAGCGCAAGGAGCTGTACAAGAAACGACGGAGGAAGGGCCACGGCCCCGGGCCGGTACGGGGGGGCTGGGAGGAGTGCCCACTGGGTGCTGCCCCAACACAGGCACCCTAACACCGCTGGTCCCTGCAGGGTGCGGCAGGTGCCCCAGTGGTGCCAGCCCAGGACAGCTCGGCAGAGGACAGGGACAGTGAGGAAGAGGAGGAGGAGGAGGATGAAGCGGAAGAAGGCCCCATGGAGGGTCACTGGGTGCCCGAGGAAGGGGCTGGGCAGGGCCTGGCACATCGTCTGCATCAGGAAGGTGAGTTGAGGGCCTCTGAGCCTCCCGGTCAGGCTCGGCTCCGGGGCTGTATCCTGTCTCACCCTCCCCTGTCCCCAGGCCTGGCCGGGCCCCTGCAGTGGCTGGAGAACTGCCTGAGGAGGACAGCTGGGGACCGCGAGGAAGACGGTGAGCAGGTGGGGTGCTGGGGTGGGGGCCAGGGTGGGGGCCAGGGCCGGGCTGTGATGGTGGTCTCGGCCCAGGAGTGTCCCACCCGGTGCCGCTAGTGCCGCTCTCAGAGGAGAATGAGGATGCCATGGAGGACCGGCGCTTCCGGGCCCTGCTGCGGCGGCTGGGGCTCCGGCCCCCCGCCAACGAGCAGGTGAGGTCCCTGTCCCTGTCCCTGTTCCCATCCTCTTGCTCCTGGCACAGCCCTACAGCCTCTCCCCTCTGCCCAGGAATCCTTCTGGCGTATCCCGGCTGCCCTCACCCCCCAGCAGCTCTGTCGTGCAGCCGCCTCCATCGCCCACTACAGTCCTGACCCCCCAGGGTACCCCAAGGGGCTGCTGGAGCCACCCAGGTGCCCCCAGGACCCCACTCCAGGTGAGGGGCTGGGCTGGGGGTGTGGGAGCCAGGCTGGGATCCCCCAGCCGTGGGGCTGGTCCTCAGCCCTTCTTCTTGTGCCCGTCAGCAGAGCAACCACCGGCAGGGCTGGGATCGGACTCGGAGAGGTGAGAATGGGCTCCCGTGCACAGGTCCTGACGCTGGGGGGGGGTTCCTCTCCCTGCCTGGGGAGGGGATCTGCACCCCTGGGTTCTCACAGTGCAGGGTTGAGTAGTACCAACCTCTGTCCCCACTGTTGCAGCGAGGAGCCTGTCCCTGTCCCCAGCCTGGTGCAGCTGGGCACCAAGAGACGACGGGAGCTCAACAGCGAGGATGAGGATGATGGGAGCTCAGGTGGGTTCGGTCTCTCCGGGGAGCGGGGGGTTCTTCCCCTGTGGTGCTCTGGGTGTCACCAGCAGCAGTGCAACGGGGAGCTGCTGGGTCACGGTTGACCTGTCCCTGGCCCCTTTGCCACATCCCTGGTGCTGGGGAGACAGTGGGGGGACAGGGGTGTACCCTCACTCCCTGTACCCCCTGGCTGGGGGGGCTCAGCCCCCTCCCCGCTCCTTCCACCCACAGGCGCAGAGGCGGCCCCTGCAGCCCCCCGTGCCGAGGAGGCCGAGGCCAAGGACCTGGAGCCCCTGGGGAGGCGGAAGCGCATCCGCCGTGTAGAGGAGGAGGAGGATTGAGGGGGCTCCCTCTGTGCCCAGGGCCTGGGTTGTTTAGTGGGTTTTCTGCAGGTTTCAAAGCTGTTTTTAAGGGTGCTGCAAAAACAGGCGCTGGCTCTCCCCCCTGTTCCCTTCCCCGGTATCTGTCCTGGTGTCTCCATTGCCCTGTTTTACCCCGAACTCCCTCTTTTTCCTCAGCTGTATTGGTTTTGTGGTTTTTGTTTGTGGTTTTTTTTTTTTCCCTAACACCTTTTAAATCTGTAAAGAGACCAAATAAATAAATGCAGCTCTTGCCCTTGCCTGGTATGTGGGTCTGGGGGCTGGGTCCCTGGGGGTGCGAGCTGCCCTGTCCCCAGGGAGTGCCCTGTCCCTGTCCTTGGGGATGGAGCCAGCCCCTGTGTGTCGCAACACCTGATAACGGCGTCTATAAAGGGGCTGCAGGGGTGGCAGCTGCAGCGGCCGGACAGGGCAGGGGACACACCGGCGTTGCCAAACGGGTGAGCTGGGGCACTGGGGGTCTGCGGCCATGGGGGGCTGATGGGGCTCTATCCCTTCTCCTGCCTCCACAGGCCATCCTCGAGCTGCCACCATGCCCCGGGCTCTGCTCTTCCTCCTCCTCCTCCTCCTCCTCAGCCTGGGGGGTAGCGTCCTCTCCACCGTCCCCCCTGTCCCCCCCATCCTCGGTGCCAATGACCGGGCCACGGCGCGGGCACTGCTGATGCAGCTGGCGGAACACATCCGACCGCGGGCTCTGCCGGAGCAGGGGTTCTCGTGCCAGGACCTGCGCCCCGAAGTCCTGCCCGGCTTCGCCCAGCTCCCGCCGCTGCCCCGCGCCCTGGCCCGTGCCGCCATGGCCCTGGCGCTGAGCGGGGCTGCCTGCGAGACCCAGGCTGAGGCGGAGGTGCTGGGGTTGTCCCGGGAGCTGGGACCCCCAAAAGCAGCGGCACTGCTTCAGGGGCTGGCGCAGCTGCGGAGCGCCCCGGCCCCCGAGGCCCTGTCCTTCCTCCTCCTCAGCATAGTGCGGCCGCGGGGGTCTGCCGCAGCCCCTGTCCGGCTCCAGGGCCCCACGACCGGCACCCACCCCACCTCATCCAGGCCGCCGGCCACGGGACCCTCGGCCGAGGGGGTCCGGGTGCTCCTGGGGGCCAGGGCCTGTGCTTGGCTGCCTGCGTGCCACCGTGCTGTCCAGCACCAGTCCCGGCGCCGGCGGGAGGATGAGGACACCTGCAATCCACCGGGGGAGCAGGAGGCCCACAGGGTGCTGGAGTGGGTGCCGGGTGTCAGCATTTTCTACAACCTGGGCACTAGCCTCTATTATGCCTTCCAGGGCTGCGAGGCCCTGGCCTCCACGCGGGCTCTGGAGGTCGCCGAGGACCTGGGCTACGCCGGCCTGGCCGCTCTCACTGCCGGCGCCGGTGGCCCCGTGGCCCTGGGGCTGCAGCTGGGGCTGCAGCCAGGGCTCAAGGCTGGGGTGCGGGCACTCATCAACTACTTCACCTCGGATGGGGACCCCCCGCCAGCCCCCACTGCCCACAGCGGCCATGTCCTCATCATCTGAATAAAGGCCCCGTGTGGTGGCTGGGTCTGGGTCCCTGTCCCTGTCTGAGGGGGGCTGGTGTAAGATCGATTTGGGACTGCCCTGCCCTGCGGCATGGGGACCTTGGCACTGCGGGTAGACTTTGCCTGAGCCACGTGGTGGCAGCTGGCCTGTCCCTGTCTCTGTCCTGCCCAGTGTGCCCTGTCCGTCTTGCCTGGCTCTGGCTCCTGCAGCCCTGTCCCTATAGCCCAGCCCTGTCTCTGCCCTACAGCCTGTCCCCATGGCCTGTCCCTGTCCCTATGGCCCCAGCCCCGGCCCTGTGATCCCAGCCCTGTCCTCACAACCTGTCCTGGTCCCCATGGTGCTGTGTCTATACCCACAGCCTGTCCCTACAGCCTGGTCCTGTCCCTATGGCCCCATCCCTGTCTCCACAGTCTGTCCTCATCCCAACAGCTGCATAGCCTGTCCCCATGGGCTGTCCCCACAGCCTGTCCCTGTCCCCACGGCCTGTCCCTGTCCCCATGACTCTGTGCCCCTGTCCCCATGGCCTGTCCCTGTCCCCACGGCTCTGTGTCCCTGTCCCCATGGCTCTGTGCCCCTGTCCCCATGGCTCTGTGTCCCTGTCCCCACGGTCTGTCCCTGTCCCCATGGCTCTGTGCCCCTGCCCCCCCGGCTCT